ATATTTTAGTCCAGATATATAATGCTACTGAATCATAATCAACATTATTATTATTAACATACGATATTATATATCGAGACCTTAATAATTAGTGGAGAAACACGCTAAATATCTTAAAATATATAATAAATATTGACAAAAATTCTAAATATATGATGAAAAATGACGTTTGGAATATATACATCCATATCAAGCAATAGATATAATATAAATATGCAATAGGTACATATATAGTGAACAAAATAATTTTTGATAAAAAATTTTGTGAATTAAAATTAATAAATATTAATTTTAATCTTTTATTAATTTTAAAAAATTGTATTGTGCAACAACGATTGTAAAATTTTTTGCACTTCTTATTTTTTATTTTATAACCTGGATATTATATTATTTAACGTATTTGTTATGATTTAATAATTTTAGATAAATGATAATATTAATAGATAATATTTTTCTATAAGAATTTTTGTTATAAATATAATAGTTCCTACATAATTGCAAAATATTATTATCTATCGATTTGGATATTGATAATTTTTATCAAAATAAATTTTGTCAAATTTATATTATTATATAATAATCTTTCAGAATAAATCATAATTAATTTTGATAAAATAACTGTTTAAAAAAAATCTCTGATAGAGTTCAAATCATCCAATTCACTATATAATAATTCTGTGAAATAGTCGCTATTATGAATATTTTCATATTTCATAAGAATGAATATTAATAAGATAGCAATCAATTTATCACTCTCTCATGTATCGTAACTATTGAATTTCATTATTTTCAATGTAAAAGGGTATCGAAACTCGTTTCAGAATGGCGATTATCATGCACGCGAGCATAATAATCATCGAAAATGTACAATTTTGCCAATCTACCAACTGGAATATCGCGCGTGTTGGAAAACAAAAGAGTTGAATTTCCGAATCTCTATTGGACACATGCAATCGTACATTTGTCGACGATTTAATGAGCGACGATTTCGCGATCCTCCGCCGCAAATTAGGTAGGCAAACTTTCCACGCGAATCTGCGGAAGTGGATGCAGGCAAAATAATACCGATAAACTATTCCCGTTTCACATTTCAACACTGTTTAACAATCGCGATTTTGCCGAATTGTTGAGTTTATAGGTGGGATTTATATAGGTGAATCGCCAATACAAATCTCTGGAGAATTTGATTTGAGTCAGTGAATAAAGAGAAGCTGGAAAATGTCATAAAAATTTGTTTGTTTTTGGTTGAAAATTGTTTAATTGATTAAAAAAAAAATTGTTATGATTTTGTTTTCTTTTCAAAATATTAAAAATTTTAATCGTAATTGAAAATTATTAAAATTTTTAAGAATTCTGAATGAAAATTTTCATTTTCAAAAGATTTCAATTAGATTTAAAGAATCTAATTATGAATTATTATATATGATTTGGTATTTTATTTTTATTTTATTTTTAATCTTTCCAGTTTTAAAATTGTAAAAAAAATAATTTTTTATAATATATAATTTTTTATACAATATTTTTATACAATATGTTTATACAAATTTTATAGAATAACAATTTAATTTAATTTAAAAACATAATAAATCCGTTATTGGTTGGTGAAAATATCTTATCATGAAAATCTTATCTATGTATTTTAACTTTTTAAAAAAATCTTATTAACTCTATTATTTTATTAACACAATTAAAATTTAAATCATTTTGGAATCAAAATTTCAATATAACGTATAATAAAAAAAAAATGCTGATAATACTTTTTATTTTATTTCGCTTATTACGCTTATTGATTTCAAACTGTAATTGATTCCTACCTGATAACATGACAAAAATTATTGAAAAAAGTTGGACACTATTCAAGATCGACATACGATCAATGCAGAATACCGCAAATAAACTAGGATATTATAAAATACTTGTCGCAGTAAAATTCTAGAATTTAATTGAGATTATTTCATGGATATTTTATTTCTTTCACAAGTTAATATATAGAATGTTTATATAAATCTGATATTCTAAATATCAAAACAAAAAAAAAATTTATATGTACATATATCCAAGACTTATTTAACATGTTATAAATAGTTATCTAATTGAAATACTATTCGATATTCAATATTAAAATATTAATTCGTATCAATATTTCAAAATTTTAAGTACTTGATATATTTGATATATTTGGATACTAATTAATATTGTGTCAGACCTTGAATATCAAATAGTCTTTAATTTGATACAATATTAGTTTGATATCATTTTAAAAGATATCGATATCGAAAAATGATATCAAGTATCTAAAACTTTGATACGTATCGATATTGAACGAAAATTTTTATTATTTTATAGTTGGTATTGCTAAACTCAATATCAGTTCGAATAATAGTTATAAACTGTTACTATTAGTGTATTAGATAATATGAAACGGCAATAAAGTGAGAACATTAAATATGCAATAATACCATATACTATTATCTCTTGTATAGCACAGCATCTCAAAAATCAATATATTAATAATATATTAATATCACTATAAATAATAGAAATATAATAGAAATATACAAATGACTATTTTTAAATTTCAAAAAAAATTTTGGAGAAATATAACATTTCATATGTTATAAATATCATCGTACTACTAGAAAGAAGTACCGCGGAAAAAATGCGGATTTGATTTGAAGAAAGAGAGAAACGCCTTTTTTTAGCATATATTTTTGTTTTTAGTGCTATTTATCAACATGGACAAATATACTAATTCTATTAATAGAAAAAAGCAATAAGAACTACTGAAATAATGAGATGCAATCTTTTACATGATTTCATAATTGAAAATAATTACGTTTTATTTGTGAATAAAATCTCTCTTTCATGATTTTGAATATTTAAATGTAGAATATGATAACAGAAGGCCAAACATAATATCCAAGAATATCAAGGATAAAGATAGACAGTTCTAGCGAAGAAGTGAACAATAACTATACAGTGTACTTATATTATTTTAAAAAAAGAAAAATTTTATTATTTTTATAAAATTGAAATCTATTTAAGTAAGTTATTTGAATAATAATAAATAAGTAAATAAATAAATAAATTGAAATAATTTAAAATAAGTAAATCATTAATACTTGACCTGCTTACTTGAAATCCATCCAATTGAATTAAAACATATTCCAATAATATATCTATTATGAATTGTAAAAGTTAAATGTATTTTTCTATAGGCTTGTTCCTTTTATTATGTTAATTCTTTAATTATTTTCATATGTAGAAGAATCATTTGAATTAATTTTGAATTTCACAGATTATGAATGTAAATCAATGATAAATCTTTATCTTTATCTGATTCAATGTTTTTTATTATGATATCAGATTATTAATATTATAATAAAAAATAGTAAATATCGAAATTGAATATTATATTAATAATACACATTATATAATAATAATCAATATCATATATTACTACATATTCATAAAAAATACATATTCATACATATTCAATATTATATTCATATTTTTTCATATTATATATTATAATTATTCTATCTATATTTAAATATATGAAACATAAAAATACATATGTATAAAAAAATAAGTGTAGCTATCAGCATGATTTTATATCTGAATCGATAATTTATAAAAAAATTTTATTGCAAAAACCTTTACATAAATTTTCAAGATTTTTTTTATTATATCATATTATATTCATCGCAAAAAATAAAAATCTTAAAGAAATAAATTATAGATCACAAATGAACCGTTTTTTTTGGAAAATCAAAAATTTCGTAAATTATTTTCTTCAATATTTTTATTGAATATATTTTTATTTTTCAATATTTTTATTTTTATTGTAATATAGTTAATATATAATATATACG